TAGAAAAACATGCATGCTAAGAGAAAAGTACTCACTACCCTGCACTTTCTGGGTGAGAGCTCAGAAAGAAAAGAGGAGCAATGTACAGAAAGTTACTAATCCTCTTAGGGAATATTTAAGTGGTTGTAGATGTAATGTTGTTTTAAATATGGACAGTAAAGACCATTCTGTTGAGGTTTCTGGTAGAAATGAGGAATATGGTATTGGACAAAGAAGAAAATGTTATTATTCCAATAAAGTGGCAAAATGTGTGGCTGAATTATGTTTGTTTTGTAGTGTTTTGTGGAGAGTAGAATCTCAAAAGCATAGGATATGACTTTCCACACCGGGCAGCCACTGTGCAGTAGTCAAACCATTTGAGGAGGGCCTCAACCCTCCTCAATAGGGTTGTGTCAACCCTATTGGTTAATAAAATCTCAAGCCCCAACAATTCAAGGCAGTCGGTTCTTATCCAACTGCCTGCTTCTCACCTCCAGGCGTGCTTTTGCTTTGCTAGTAAATCATTCCTTACTGTCTTCCTACTCTTTGTGGTTCTTTTGGTGCACCTGGGGCAGTGTCCTAATTTTAGACTTTGTACCCAAAGAATTGAGGAATATCTGGAAGGCCCCTTCCACTGGCAACAAAACTGTACAACATGGTGAGAAGCTTGAAAGACTATGGACAATGACCCCCGTGGGAATCCTCAGTGGTGGAGTGGCTGAATGATTTAAGAACAGGACTTTCTAAAATTCTCTCTTACTCTTTTCAGTTGCTGGAATATGACTAACATGTAATACCTCCTGCAATCTCTCAGCACTTTCCATCAACCTGCTGAAACATGCTACATATGCTAATCAATTAAACAAATATTTTTCTTGATTTCGGGTTGTTTGATTGGTTGGTCTTAAGAAGTGCTGAATGGAGGTTTATTAACGTGAAGTGAGTTCTGAGTCTGACTAGGTGAAATGCCAACAAGGGAACAAAGTAGGAACTCACAAGAGATATGTATTCACTTCAAGATAACAAACTTCATACAAATGTGTCCCTCTTCTCCCTCCTGCAACCCCACTGGGGGCTCAGAAGAAATTAAAAATAAGAGTGACATATACAGAACTTGACAAATAGGAGTGTCATAATCTGATTCCTCAGAGGCAGATGAGAACTGCTGATGACCAAACAACAGGAAAAAAAGCTACAATCTAATTACAATAAAAAAGAGGGCCTCCAAAATCAGTGAGAATACCCAGAACTCCTCCAACAAATCCTAAATTAAAGTTAGCAGAGGCTAGGGAAAGATCAGAGTATGGAGGGTTTGGACAAATGTTTACAAGAGAAAATGAACTAACTATCCAATTACCTTCACAACACCTGACTCTAACATTTGCTCTCAAGAAAGCTTCCGCTTTCTGTAGAGTGCAAACTTTTTTTTTTTTCAGGACTGGTGTTTGAACTCAGAGCTTCACTCTTACATGGCAGGCACTCTGTCTTTTGAGCCATGCCTCCAGCCCTTGTTCCTCTAGTTATTTTGGAGATAATGTCTCACATTTTGCACTGGCTGGCCTGGACTGTGATCCTTCTATTTTACCCTTCCCAATGTAGTTGGGATGACAGGTGTATGCCACCATACTCAGCTATTGGCAAGACTTTATTTATTTATTTGCCCAGGCTGGCCTGGAACCATGATCCACCTGATTTTGGCCTCTTGCATAGCTTGGGATGACAGGCATGTACCTCTGATTCAAGCTATTGGTTGGGCTGGGGTCTCTCAAATATTTTCGGCCAGGCCAGAAATCCTTCTGATCTCAGCGTCCTGAGTAGCTAGGATTACAGGCATGAGCCACCCACCCATGCCTGGCTCCACTCTTAGAAGATTTGAAGTTTATGCATGGCTAATAGAGGAAGGAAAGGAGGGATGGGCCTCAAACACTGGATATGCTTTTCACTTCCAAGAAAATGAGGAGCTTTAATTTCTAGAAAAAGGGCCACCATTTCACAGGCTGAGGCAAGTTCTTTTATCTCTTGTGCAATCATTAAAACCAGGACTTTATATTTGGGGCACTAATTATCTCTTAAAATAGGTTTTTTTGAGCTATAAGCATAGAATTTGAGACATACTTCTATAATGGCAATTTAAAATTTTTATTGTAATTAATTACTTATACATGCAGCAAACCTCCCCCAAGATGTTTTTTCTATCTTCAAGTGCAATATAATGCTTGTTGTATTAGTCTGCTTGGGCTATTGTGACAAAATTAAGGCTGTGTGCTCATAAGTTTTCCTCAGTATAAATGCTTGCAGAGAGGTACTTTCTAGTGTCTCTTCTAATACGGACACTAATCCTATTGGTCCATCACTTCACATCTTTGTGACCTCACTTAACTTTCATTACTTCTTGCTTAATTCTTTTTCTGCTGCCATAAGAGAATAACAGAGACCAGGTAATTTATAAAAATAAAAAGAAAGATGTTTTTTAGCTGGTGGTTTTAGAGACTGGAAAGTCTAAAACCATGGTTCCAGCACCTGACAAAGACCTTCATGTTGCATCATCACAGAAGTGGAAGAACAAAGAATGTTAGACCAAGTGAGCAAGAGAGGTCAGAACTGGTGTTTACAACATACACCCTCTCATGGTAACTAACACAATCCCATGGTAATAACATTAATCTCCTTTGGTAAGCCTCACTTCCCTATGATGTTACATTGGGGACTGAGTTTACAACACATGAACTTCAAGGTACACATTCAAATCTTTCCACTTCTTTTGAGCTCCCATCTCCAAATACAGTCACAATAGGAGTTAATGTTTCAACGTGAGAACTTGGGAGAAACTTTCAGTCCACAACATTCTGGCCCTGAGTCTCCCAAATTCATGTCTTTCTCACATGCAAAAATTACATTTACCCTAAACCAACAGCTCCAAAATCTTAACTTGTTCTAGCAGCAAACTTAAAATATAAAGTCCAGAGTCTCACATAAATATCATCCATATTAGATATGGGTTATCCTCAAGGCAGGATTTATCCTGAGGCAAAATTCTTCTCCAGCTGCAAATCTGTGAAACTAGGCAAGTTATGTGCTTCCAAAACACAATGGGACAGGCAAAATACAAACCTTCCCATTTGAAAAGTGAGAAATAGGAAAGAAGGAAAGGGTGACAAGTCCCAAGTAAATGTGAAACTTAACAAGGTGAATTTCATTAGATCTTACTGTTTGAGAGTGAATCTCTTTGGTTTGATGGTTTGCTTTCCATGCCCACTGGGATGGCAGTGTCACCCATAGTCCTGTGGGGTTCTGTGTGAGCCCACCTGGGCTGCTGAAATCAAGGAAGAAGCAGCCTGGACCCTGGGCCTGGAGTGCAAGTGGCAGCCCTGCTGATTCTGAATCATCTCAGGGCTCTTCGTCCTTTTCTTGAAGATGCATGTTGACAGCTGTCCTAAGTTCCCATTCCACTGAGTCCTAGGAGTCCCCCACCTTCCTTTACTTTGTCCCATTCTTATCCACTCCAGTTCAAATAAGTGGTTTTTCTACTAGTCCAATTCTATAATCTATCTAGTGATCATTCATCTATACCCTTGGTGTCTCCTCAGAAAACACTTTCTCACTTTCTGCAATATTGACAGGCCAAGAATTTTCTGAATTTTTAGGTTCTGGATTTCTTAAATTAACAATTCCTTCTTTAGTTCATCTCTCTATCTTGTATTTTTATTATAAGCAGTCAGGAGGACCTGGGTCACACCTTCAACATTTTGCTTAGAAATCTCTTTGCTTGTAAGTACTAACTTCCACAGAAGACTAGAACACAATTCAGCCGTGTTCTTTGTTACTTTGTCCAAGTACTTCTTTTTCTCCCATTTCTAATATCCTGCTCCTCATTTCCATCTGAAACCTCATCAGAATAGCCTTTAACATCCATACTTCTGCTAATATTGTGTTTATGGTTATTTAAGTATTCTTTAAGAAGGTGGAGGCTTTCTCTCCTCATCTTTTCTTTTTGAAATTCACCAGAATCACATGCCAACAGTCTCTTCTGGCCAATGGGTGTTTTTTTCCCAGCATGTACCTCAAAATTCTTCCAGACTCCAACCATTACTTGCTTCTAAAACCACTTTTACATTTTTTTATTGTTTATACATTTATTCATATGTGTATACATTGTTTGGGCCACCTCTTCCCTCTGTCCCCGCCCCCCTCTTCACCACCCCCTCCTCCTCACTCCTTTCCAGGCAGACCCTGTTCTGCCCTCTTCTCCAATTTTGTTGAAGAGAAAACATAAGAGATAATATGAGACATAGCATTTTTGCTAGTTTTAGATAAGAAAAGCTACACAGAGAGATTCCTAGCATTGCTTCCATGCACAAGTTTATTACCACTTCCACATTTTTTAGTACTAAGCTCTGTATTAGCTTGTTTGAGCTTCCATAATAAAACATAATAACACATGCTGTGAGTGTGACTTAAACAAGAGAAATTTATTTTCTCACATTACTGGAGCCTAGAAGGCTGAGATTAGAGTGGGTCCTAGCAGAGCTTGTTTCTTGATGAGGGCTCCCCTCTCCTCTTCTACCAGAGAGCTGCCTTCTCTGTGTTCACATGGCCTTTTCAGGACAGGTGTGCAGGAAGAAACAGAACAAGCTCTCTAGAGCCTCTCCTGGTAAGGTCACTCATCCCATCAGATCAGAGTCCCATCTTTACACTCCATTTAACCTTAATTACTTCCTTAGAGGCATCATCTCCACACCCGACCACACTGAGGGTTAGGACTTCAACATAGGAATTTGGAGGAATACTTGGTCTGTAGCACTCACACATAAAAGATGAGCAAAAAATGTTAATAAATGAATTAATGTAACACAAGCTAGAAGACATCAAGGAAATTTTTTAAGAAAGTTTTGTATATATTTTGCCTTTTCCTTAAACAGTGTTCTTCAAATCTTCTGTTTTAGTGTTATTTTTAACCACAAACCATCATAAAATACTTTGTTAACACAATGCATTTGTGCGGAAGAATGATATGTACTTACGTTTCTATTGGAATCGTAAATGGAGTCATTCTATAATTCAAAAATGGACTTGAAATCTCAAGAAACTGTTCAGGTTTCTTTATCACTGGATCTAAAAAGTAGCAATTAAGAAGTGTGATGTACATTTTAAAAATCTTTCAGGTTTGTATGCAGAATTTAATATTTAATGGCATGCTGATTGGATTAACTATTTACTCAGAAAATGTCAATAGAATTAAGTAGGAATGTATAAAGATATCTAAGGTTTTTTATTGAAAGAGTTTATAGGTCTTTCTAATATTAGATTTCTTTTGTTTTCACCTCTCTTGCTTTCCAGATTACAACCGAAATAAATCTCAAGGGGAAAAGTTACCAATGTCTTATAGAATTAATCCTCAGTATTTGCTGCTATTTCAAGTACAGGAATGATTTCTCTGTAACAGTCTTTTACTTAAAAAAAAATGCAATCCCCTACTTAACTTCTACAACACAGTTGCTTAGGACATGAAGAAGAATTGTGAGCTAAAGCATGGAGCTTGTAGTGGAAGGACAGAAGATGTAACAAAGCAGCAGATCAAAAGAGAATCTGGGTATTCAAATCTGAAGCTTGTCTGCAAGTGGAAATTCCCAGTAGGAAGGGGACACAGTGTGCACATTACCAGGGTGAATGCTGAAATTGAACAGTAGGGGTGATTATGAGAAAGAGGAGTGAGGCCATGACACTCTACACATACATTTTCTCTGACTGTTCTACACAAAATGATCCCTCCCCATTTTTGTGAATTTTCATTTCAAATATTATCCCAACAGAGAAAAAAAAAAGAGAATTGTTTGATGAGCCCTCAGGGTAGGGCACCACTATTATGAAACCTCCCCAACAGTGAGATTTACCAAAGAATGATCGTTCTGCATAGAATTACACAACAATGAAGGAAAATCAGAGGAGAGGCACATGTTCCAAATTCTTCCTTTGGTTGAGACATTTCCTTGTTGTCTTCATGAACAACTAATGCATTTAACTAAAATATAACATTTAAAAGTAAAGGTTTTCTTTCATTTTAATCTCATGTGGACATTGATCTTTGGCTCAGGAAAGAACGCAAAGGGAAAAGTGCAGAAAGGCAAGGAAGGAAGGAGGGAGGGAGGGAGGGAGGAATATCTTTGCATCCAAATCGGTAGATGTACTTTGTTGGTAAAAACAATCCACTGCAGAACCTCAAGGAATGAATGGCAGACTACAGTAATTAAATACGAAGGGAAGAGATGGCTGGGCTATACAAAAAATGAACTGACCACTTCTCTTTTCCATCCAAAACACATGTTCTTTGTTTTTTGTTCTTTTCTTGTAAGGATAACACATTGTGGTAGAGAAATCCTTCCTACCATCTGTACTGCCTGTGTTAATGCAGGCAGAAAGCAAATTTGAGGAAAATTACGAGGTTATCAGTTGTTATTTATATTTTAAAAACGTGTAAATTATGATAGGAAGTAAGAGGCAAGGAACAGGTAAATATAGAATGAAGTCCTTCCAATTTCTGTCTGCTGAGTAGATGGGATTATAGACACAGCCACCAGGCCCAGCCCTACACTGACAGCTATTTTTGAACAAGCATAATTTAAGCTCCTTGGAATGAGAATGTATACATATTACACACACGCACACACACATGCGCACATCTATAATACTGCACTCTGTCCTCCACCAAAAAGTACAAATACTGGGCTGGAGAGGTAGCTCAGAGGTAGAGGGCGTGTCTAATGTGTACAAAGCTTGGGTTTGATCCCCAGTGCAAAAAGAAAACAAGACAAAACAAAAGTTAACTATGAGAAGACTATTCATGTTGAAAAAACATACACAAATTATAAGTTCTACTATGACTAAATTGTTGAATTATTTCTTTTTAAAATCACCTCCTCATGTTCATGTTTCTGCTTTAAAATTGATTCTTTTAGTTATGGCCTCATTCATTCTTTGCCTTGCCATCTCGATTCCTCCTCCATTCAAATATTATGCTTGTAAAAAAAAAGTAAGAGTGAAAACTTGAAAAGAACAGAAGATTGGAGGTGTGAAGACATGAACCACGAAGAATTTAAAACTGAATTGCAAGAATAAGAACACCTGGGGTACTCCTCTCCCTGCCCTTAGTACTAGGAACAACTGTCACTGACAAAAAAGACTTATGACAGTATTAACACAGGAGTCACTTCAAGTACAAGTTCTGTTCCTATAAGAGTTCTAATTATAAATCAATAATTCAAAGAGTATGTTCTACACGACAGTCTGTGGTCATTTCCACATTACTAATTCATCCTAGAACCTTAATATATGCTGTTTAAGTTTCTATATTATCTACTACAAATTACTCTTCTATCACACTAATAACAACAATGCTATCATTTAAAGAATTAGATTGGGGGCATGGCTCAAGTGGTAGAATGTCTGCCTTGTAAGCACAAAACCCTGAGTTTAAATCCCAGCACCACTGTACCCCACCCCCCACCCGGAAAAGAGAATGTCCTGTTTGGTCAATTTCAGCATCAGTCAAATACTGGGCTTCTGAGATGTGCAGAAAGAATCCTGTAAAGACATAATTTAGACATAAAATTCAAGTAGGGTTTGGTGTGATGCTGCGTGGTTTACTTCAATACATCACTCTCTTCACTACAAAAGAAACTTCAGCTCTCACATACAGAAGTGTCACTTAGAAAGATTTTTAACACAACACAGTGCATACCTCGAGCTTCATCTGTTATAACAGTTTCTTTCTGCTCACGAATACGTTTCCAGGGAGGCACAGGAGGTGGTTTTGGTGGTGCCACAAGGGGACAAGACCTACTTCTAGTCACCAGCACGGGATGGCTACAGATGTGGGATAGCCCATATTCTCTAAGTTTCTCTGCAGAATCTGCCTAAGAGATGAAAAGAAGATTCAAGAGGATTCCTGCAATTACCTCTGGCATTTAGAATGGTACTTCTGTCAATATAGAAATACGCTCACCACTATAGTGATAAAAAAGCAAGTAAGCAGCTGTATTTCCTCTACTCTTTTTTTGGCAGTACTGGGGTTTGACCATGGAGCTTCATTCTTGTAAGGCAGGCACTCTGCTGCTTGACCCACACCTCCAGCCCTTTTCACTGATTATTTTGGAGATAGGGTCTCATATGTTTTGCCCTGGCCCACCTGAACCATGATCACCTTATTTTATGCTGTGACTGGGATGAAAGGTGCACACCACCACAACACCCAGCCACTGGTTGGGATGGGGGGGTCTCACAAGCTTTTCCAGGCTAGTCTGGACCCGCCATCCTTCTGATCTCAGACACCCAGAGTAGCTAGGATTACAAGCGTGAGCCACTGGCACTTGGTTTCTGCCTCTCTTATTGTAAGCTTTATAACCATTTGTAGCTCTTGCCATCTTTAAGTTTTCTTGGGCTCCCTGTTTCTTTATTTGAAAAATGAGACTTTTCAGTTCTAAAAGCTTAAGATCCTTTGTGATTTCAAAAATCTTAGCATCAGTTTGGGTTCAAAATTACTCAGTCATTATCTTGAGAGGTTAAAGCTTTAATACTAGTGCTTATCATGCATATATATTTATATGTCTGTATATATTTAAAACTCACTAGCAATCGTTAGTTATTTTACAATATTCTAGTCTTAAGTGCATTTGGTCAGTGAGGTGGGGAGTGGTAGCCTTATCTACAGAGGGCACCCCCACTCTTTGATAATGGGTTCTTCCACAGGAAATCCCCCAGGTTACTGAGGACAAAGGAGGCATTCATAGAAGTTCCAGCAGACAGACTGCACTGCCAAATGAAGTAGTTGACTAGGCAAAGAGCTGCCATGTTCAAATGTTCAGCAGTCTTGGAACCATTCTGCTTTGGAAATAGTTTCAAATATTTAAACAGAACTTTAGTTATTAATTGCTGCCCGAAACATGCCATAAAAAAAAACATTTTTTAAAGTACATGAAATTTGAAGTGATCTACACCATAGCCAAATTTTGAATTTCCCAGCCCAGCTTAATGTTGAAACTAAAATAAAATACTAACTATATTAAAGTCAGTTTTGCCAATAACTATTTTTCCTCATGATTCCACATCACTGATTTCTGTGCGATAGCATAATCATGTAAATTGTGGTAGAAGCCCACCACAGGCCTATTCCATATCATTGCTTCAACTGGAACTGCCTTGCTGTCAGGACTCTGATTCTTTATAGCTCGTCTTACACTTCTCTGAAGCACAGGACAGGCAGGACATTCACGAGGTACAACAGTTCTTCCAGGAGCCAGACAAATCGCAGAGAAGAGGAGTAATCAGTACACTAGTGAGACCTGAAGGCCCATTTCAAGAGTCATAAATATTCAAGATAAAGAGAAGAGTGATTCAGTGGTTTTAAAAAGTGACCTGATTAAGAAGAAACTATCTATTTCTCTCCATCTCTTTTTTTAGCAGTTTAGTGAAAAACATTCAGAAGTGTCTAATTTTGTCTTAGAGTGGCATTATAAAACTTTGTCCTACATAATCTAAAGTGTAAACCTTTTCCCTTTAACTCAGTATAGCTTTAGGATGAATGAATCAAGTCAACACTTCAAAGAAAATGGAAACTTATGGGAGAATTTGAGGCCATTCAGTAAGATGATGCCTTACTGTAGTATTTTAAAAAGGGGCGTTTCTGTAAGTCCCATTTAAATGGTATTCAAAATAGAAGTCACTTTTGGAGTACTGTAGGAGCTGGACGCATGCTGGGCATCTTATCAGTGATAATTTTTGGTCTACATATCTTAATTTCTCTTTATGATGTCAACCAGTATTTTAGTCTAAAAATAATTTCTTTCTTGAACCGTAGCACATTAGAAAATGATTTAAAGTATTTTGAAAATGTAAAGAACTAACTCAAACAACAAAGCATAGTATTAGCACATACTTACTGCTTGAATCACTTTGATAGTACTAACCTGATTTTAGCATGAGAACTTTAAAAACTAATTTCTCATATTTCATCTTATTTTCAACATTCTATATAGCGTGTCTGATTCATGAAAAGTAATGGTATTAATAATACTTATAGTTTGATGTTAAGAAGCTTTGTAAAAGGATCTCAAAGTTTTTTAGGTATGAATTGGGAACACAGAGATTTAGAATTGTGAATAATTTGTGTGTTAGACTTGAATTAAAATTTTCCTTTCCCTAGACCCTTTTACTCTTTTTACCCCATTTCATTTCAACCTTTCTAAAAGAAGAAGTAGGGGTTTGGGCAGGTGGAGGGAGTTTTTTTTTTTTTTTTTTTTTAAACTCCCAACTCATCCATCTAAATAAAACCAAAACTATTTAGAATACCCAAGAAGAAAAGGATATTGGAACATGTTGGGTAATTCGTGTCTTATTTCTTCTAAAGTTTGGTTCTTGTTTTTCTTACAGTCTCCTCACTTCTTTTTGTTTTACGTTGCTTTTGGGGGGTCTTGCTCTCTACTGCAGGCTGGACTAGAACTCACGATCCCCCTGCTTTTGCCTCCCTAGTGCTGAGTACTAGAACTACAGGCATATAACACCAAGGATGGCCAGCCTTCATCATTTCTTTAAATAAATGTAAGTTATTAACTTCTTTTTTACTTGTTGATTTCATGGTTTTTGGAGTTATAACATTTAGTAGTATGCTCCATTTAATGAAATTTCATTAGGAAAGAAAATGTTTACTACAGGTTTATTATTAAAACATATCTCTATTATATTCTGATATTTACCAACAAACCTAGATCAGTGTCCTGCACAGTTAACTTAAAAGAACCAACAGGCAAGCTGGGGGACCATGAGACTATAGTCAGTGCATTACAGTCTTGGAGGTTATGCAGTTACTGTTACAGACATGGGACTAATTTTAGATTCTCTGGCACTTAAACCCTTTTCATCATGCAAAGGGAGGATTTAAACCAGGCATGGTAGTTCTCTCAGCATTAGAGAGTCTGATCCGAAGCAAGAGGATTCAAGTTCAAGGCCAGCTTGGATGTATAGAGCAAGACCCTGTCTCAAAAAAAAAAAAAGGATTGATAGATTGTGTTCTGACTTCTACCTACAACTGGCATTGCCTGCAAGACTGACTTCCTGTGTGACTTATTCAGTCTTGGGTACTTCCCTGAACCTGATGGCATCTCCCTTGCCTCCAGACTTTCTAACATGAGATTCCCTTGCTTTGAACACATTTTCTTATTTACTTGCATGACTTTTAAAGTCTCAGTTTAAATAATTAGCTCTTTCCTTGAGAAGACTTTCCTGGTCCCCATTAGAAGAAATGACATGGGGGTTGGGGTATGACTCAGGTGGTCTGGTGCTTGCCTAGAAACAAATGACGTGCTTTTGTTTTGTCTCCTCCATTGATTCTTCTCACTCACTCATTCTTCTCACTCATTCATTCAAGTATTCATTTGTTCATTCCTCCACCAAACCTACATTTATGCACCTATACCTACATATGGTCAGTACCTTGTATGCCTTCTTTTATAACAATTTTTAATTGTTTTATTGTTTACTTAATTGTCTGCTTTCCTCATTAGACCCTAAGTTTTTGCTCATATTTATATCTTCAGAACACAGCACGTGTTTAACATACAACAGATAATTAATAAACACCTGTTGGATTAAACAATGAATAAATGGATGTGAGGGTTGATAGTCTGTTTTAGTCTTCTAAATTCAAAAGTAACTTTGTTTTTAAATCTTAGATTCTCAGTAAGATCACCAATTTTTAAATGGATTATTTTCCATACCTTTTTGTTTGGTGATTAATTCATCCTGTGCTTTCATTTTGCAGTTTTAAAAGGAGTTTGAAGCCAACACCTCTGGTTCATACCTGTAATCCTAGCTACTCAGGAGGCACAGATCTGGAAAACTATGATTCCAGGGCAGCCCAAGCAAAAAGTTTTTTGGAACTCCTTTCAATAGAAAACGCTGGGCATGGTAGCATACATCTGTCATCCCAGTTACTAAGGGAAGGACAATAGGAGGACCGTGATCCTGGCTGACTTGGGCATAAAGGAGACCCTACCTCAAAAAAAATCAGAGTAAAAATGGTTAAAGGTGTGGCTCAAGCAGTAAAGTACCTGCCTAGCAAGCTGGAAGCCCTGCACCAAAAACTAAAAAAAAAAAAGAGTGAGTACTTCTTATCACCTCCACAAAAAAAACATGGCCAGTGTTCTTCAGTAACCCAAGTGGTCTTTTCCCTCTAGAGTATCTGAGACAGTGCCTAGGCCAGTGGCAGGTAAAGAGGTTTAAAAAAATCAGAGATGAGGTGGTCATCCCTAATCTCAACAACAGGCTGAATTTGGAAAAGGCTTTTGAAACACACTTGGACTGTTGAGTGCTATTGATTTTAAGACCTAGACTTAATTTTTGATTCTGAGATTAAACCATGGCTAATGTTATTTAACTTTGGATTAAAATCAAAGAACTTATATTTATGATATGAAGTTACCACTCTTATATGGTTAATTTTTACAGGTAAGAGTAACTTCTGTCTAAAGGAGATAAAGAAAGACTAAGAGGAAGACCAGGAGAACGAGGAGGTAAAAACCGGTAACAATTACACCCCCAGACTAATCTCAAAGACAAATGCAACTCAGAGTATAGTATAATACTCATCCAGGTGGAATATTTACATTTCAAGATAATTTTCACTCAGCTCTTTCTAACTGTTCAAATGGATACTTGTATGTAATTACATCACTGTACCACCTGAGCTTATACTTCAATTTAGTGACTTTAGGACATATGGAATCCTAGGAATGAAGTGCTAGATGTCTTAAGTACCCAAACAGGCTTAGGAGTCAATAAGCATTTACAATAATCAATATACATAATCATTCAATAAGCAATATTCAATGATCAATGTATATATGTATAGTAACTTCATAGACTTTATCATTATAAGGGAAAGAGAAAAAATTGATTTTTAACCTTAAGAACAAGACAGTTTAAAAAATTGTGGAACTCCATAAATACTATCCCACCAATAAAAATCATATTGACTAAAATAGAAAACCATGGGAAATTGTTAATAACATAGTGATAAATGAAAAACTGGCTTCTAAATGGAGTGTAAAACATGATTCCATTCTGAAAAAAAGTACACACAAAAACACATCACAGAATATATGCATAAAAGAAAAATCAAAGATATATGGCAGTGATACATGGTATAATATCTTTACCCAGGTATTTATACTATGCATGTGTTAATTGTATTTCTTGACTAAATTTGCTAAATTTCTTATAATTTGTAAGAAAAAAACCAGTAGTGTTTATTTTGTATAAATAATAGATAATTCTTCAAAATTAAAATGAGATATTTATATAGTTTTTCCTCTTTTTTTTATGATTGTCTAGTACTGTGATCATCTAAGATAATTTTAGAAGTGCCAAATTGCTTAGGTCAAATAATTCTCCACATCCCATACAGATACAACTTAAATAATATTGTAGTTCTTGGTCTTGAATGCTTACCATCTTCTCTAATGAAAAAATCTTGTTTTCAAACAAATAGAGAGGTGTAAAGGTAGCATACACGACCATGTGAGGGGACTGTGTTGCTGCAGAACCTGTAAAACAAACATGCATTTTATCATGAAGATTCTAGGCAAGCTAAGTCAGACAGCCACCAGCTCACTGTGTCCTTACATGGCCTCTCCACTGTGTGTTGGAGGGAAGGAGGTGGGGCGGGGGGGTGGAGAGGAAAGAAGGAAGGGGAATGGAGAGAGAAGTATCTGGTGTCTTTTCTTTTTTTATAAGGATTAGAGTCCCACCCTATGACCTCATTTAATCTTACACACCTCCAAATGAATTATATCCAAATATAGTTACATAGGGATACCCTCCTCCCATCCCTATGTGTCTTACGAAGAGCAAATTTCATCCCATCCCAACAGGTACCAAGAGACTCAACACATTTCTAATCAAGTCAAGTCCAGAGTCTCGTCTAAATAACATCAAACATAAATAGATAAGACTCAAAAATCACTGCCTTACAATTTCTCCACAGCAACAAACATATGATACTAATAAATTATGTGTTTCCAAACTACAATGGAGAAATAGGGCATTTTCATAGAAAAAGTAAGAAATCAGAAACGAGGAAGGGGCGATTGAACTCCAGGAAGTCCAAAAGCTTGCAGGACTCCATTGAATCTTAAGGTTTGGGGAAAGTGCTCCCTGGCTGGATCCTCTGCTTTCTGGGCCCACTGTGGTCCTCTAACTCTAGGTTGTGGCCACACCTCCTTGACGAAGGGCAAAGGCCTAGCCTAATCCACAATGAGTCATTGCAGAGGGCACCCCACGGCTCTTTGCTGGGGTAGCCTGGCTTACTGAAAACAAGGAAGTGGGTCCACCCCAACCCAGGTGGAAACAACCTTGCTTCCTCTGGTGAGAATGTAGTTCCGATTACTTTGAATCACTGTGGGAGCCATTCTTTCCTTTTCTTGAAAGATGAATTCAAGACATTCATGAATGTCCATGTTCAAAGTCAGATAGATTTATGGTCCCATCCTGTGTGATTTTAGTCCAGCAGACTTCCTTCATTTTACCCTGTTTTCTCTGTTTCCTCAGTAAAACACACCATAGGACTCACCTCTCCTCCGGGCTCCGGAGCAGGAGTCATGGGCCATTAGAGCACTATTAAATACTTCTAAAGCACTGTTAAGGTTAATGATGAGTCTTTACTATTGTGAGCGCCCTTTTCATATACAGGTGATCTGACTCCCTAATCAACAGCCGCTAGGCCCTTCCCTGCTTTGACTATCAACTAAACAGTCAGCCAGATTGTCCTCGTGCCATCACTGGCTGCTCTGAACACTTCATAGACAGCTTGAGGAAGCCACGTGACAACAACAGTTTGCTGCTTAAGAACAACCCCAGCTCCCAAAGGCACTGTCCCAGCGAAGAGTTTGAGCTGGACTTTTTTGCCATCAGAAGCTTGGATGAACTGTGGATGACCCTGCAGCCATCTCCATCCAGGCCAGAGAGGAAGTACTTCCCCTTGTGGCCCAACAGAAGACTTGTCACTAGTGTAGACACAATCCTTAATTCAAATAAGGAACTGCCATGACTGGTGACATGAAGGACTGTGCCATGATTGGTGCAGACACTCCACTGACACACCCCTTCTAGCTATATAAACTGGCAGTTTGAGTCTCTTTGGGAGTCAATCAGATTACCTTCCTGTGCTGCTTCTTGGTGTTGCAACATTAGCCACAATAAAGCTTCTCTCCAGTGCTCTTTTCTTGCCTACTTTTGATTTCCATCATTGGTAGAGTGCTAACATGAAGAAAGAGAAGAGGTGATGGGAGATGCAGCAGCAGTGCCAGGTTCCCAGGAACTGCACCAGCGATAGACCCAGCAGTGGCAGCCATGATAACAGACCTGGCAGCAGTAAGAGCAGCAGCTAACCCAGGTGACAGTGGCAGTGGTAGTAGTTTCAGAAGAGGCAGTGGTGAAAGATATGGCAGAGCAAAAGGCAGAGAGCAGCAGTGACAGTGACCAGGGTAAAAGTAATCGGGAGCAGAAGTGGCAGAAATGACACAGAATAGCAGGAGACAGAAAACAAGAGAGGGCAAAGAGGTGAAGCAGAAGAAAGTCAGAAGCCTGTAGAGACAGAAAGAAGAGAAACTGCAAGTTTTGGTCACTGGAAGAGGACTGTAATACTTGTTACCACTCAGAAGCACTGAGGATCCCACCGTCTGAGGGGCTAGAGGTATATAACACTTGTAGCCGTGGAGCTAAGGGTCCCAGCACCCAGGGCCCACTCAAGAGTTGGAACACTAGAGAGCACCACCTGCCACTGCTCACTGCTTTCTGTTGCTGCTGCCCACACAGGATTACAAAACCACCAAATGCCTGGGATACGCTTCTCCTTGCCTACCCATGAGTGTTGTCTGGGCAGAGCAAAAGGACCCCAAGCTAGCTGATATGGGGCACAGCTTTTGTGGGTATAATCCAAGTTCTATTCTTAGTCATCGCTGAGATGGCTGATTAACTCCACCAGTAAACCACATGCTCAGTGTTCTTTCTACAAGTTTTTTCATTTTCAGCAATGAGATTAAGACAAAGGATTTTTCAAATCTTCAAGTTCCTTCTCTCTTTTCCCTCACAATCCCATCATATTAGCTCTCTTCTCTCATCGTAAACTATCATTTCATCATCTTATTCTCTCATCTTTCATCATAGTAAGGAGAATCTAGACATCACTTTGCTTAGATATCATCTCAGATAAATACCCCATGGCATTGCTCACAGGTTCTAACTTTTAGAAAACACTAGAACACATGTCAGCTGAGTGTGAAGCAAGGATTGTCTTTCCTCTAGTTTTCAGTACCATGTTCCTCATTTCCACCTGAAACCTCACCAGGAGCAGCTTAGCAACTGTATTCCTACCTGCTGTCCCTTCAAGGCACTTGGGTTTTTTTTTTCTAGTGTTCACTGCAAAATTCTTACAGTTTCTGTACATCACTCAGTTTCAAAGCCACCTCCTTATTTTAAAGTATTTCTTACAGTAGCATCTTACTTTCTGGCACCAACATCTGTGTGTTAGTTCAGCCTATCCAGAGAAACAAAACCAGTACGAAAATAGATTTGTTATAGGAATCATGTGATCATGGAGGCTGCCACTTTCCAAGATCTGCCAGGGGAGTCAGCCATCTGGATACTCTGGAGAAGCAATGGTATAGGTCCCACCTCTTCAGGCATTTTACTAACTGAATGAGACCCACCCACATTAAGGGGGACAACCTGCTATGCATTGTCTATTGATGTGAATATTATGTCATCCAAAAACATTGTCACAGGAAGTTTGAGCAAATGACTAAGTACTCAGTGAAATTGATGTGCAAAGTCAACCAGCACATTAACTCTCATCTAAATATTAATCAAAACAAATTTTTGGCTGTAGTGGGGTTTGAACTCAGGATCTCACTTCCTAGGCAAGCACTCTACCACTTGAGCCACACCTCCAGTCCCTTTTTCCTTTAGGTTATCGTTTAGGGCTCTAGCTTTTTGAACTGTGTTCCTCCTTCCTATATCCCCCATGTAGCTGGGTTTAAAGTTGTACACTACTACACATGACTTGTTGGTCAAGAGAGGGTCTCACTAATTTTTTTCCCAGGCTGGCGCTAAACTACAATTCTCCCAATCTCTGCCTCCTGAGTTGCCGGGATTGCACTTGGCCCTTATTTAAACATATTTAAGTTCAAAAATAGTTCGTTATAAATTATATTCTGTATTTGTACAATGCTCACTGGAAATTTTGGTGCCTTTCCTCAAATTACTTAAAGCTAAATAGTTAACATTTAAGAATCGAATACCTTGCCATAGATCTTTAATGTGATTCAAGTTTCTAGACTATGATCTTAAAAATAAAACTTGATTCTGATGCAAGTATTTTGAGAAAGTCTTCCACCTATTTTATGGCCTTACATAGTAAAATCTTTTGGAGCTTGGCAATTCCAGGCAAGGTCATGGAAAAAAACTTTATAAATGTGGGTGAAGAAAGTGGTTTTGCCAGGTATGGTGCTGTAATCCAGCACTGCTCTGGAAGTTGAGACAAGAAGATTGTGAGTTTGAGCCTGTCTCAAACAAAAACAAACTGAATATGGTCCTTGACCTACAGATGTTGCATAAATGATGCTGATGATAGAAAAGATACTGCTTTACATGATAGGACAACATTTTATATGGGATTACAAAATCTCATGTTAAGATATTTGTATCCTCACGTTTTAGTCAAGGGCAAACATTAAAATATTTCATAAGTAGTAAATCGTAGGCACACATCAGAGTAGATGTGTGCTGGTTACAAACACTGAAATCACAGAACTAGTGTTATAAATTTATCATCAACCTATAAAATCTGGGTAGCACTGCAATATAAAACAGTAATTTTTAAGCGAAGTGCTTTATTCTCTTTTTTTGAGACAAGGTGTTTATATATGTCCCAGACTTGCCTAGAACTCACTGTGTTGCCCAGATTGACCTTGAACTCATGATCCTCCTGCCTCAGCCTCATGAGTGCTCAGATACAGGTATGAGCCACCATGCCCAGGTTAAGTTGCATGCATTTTATAAATGGGACCGAGGTCCAGAAACTCTCTTAAACATCATGTAAAACACTGGATATGTGTGCATACTAATAGTCCTAATTTACTTTGTGCTGCTATAACAGACTACCTGAAGCTAAGTAACTTACAAAGAACAGCCCCGAGCAGGTCTGGGAGCTGGGAAGTCTTAGACTGAGGCCCTGTTATCTCGTGAAGGCCTTTTTTCTGCATCATCCCATGTCAGAGACACAAGGAAAGAAAGAATTTATGTGTGTGTGTGTGTGTGTGTGTGTATGTGAGAGAGAGAGAGAGAGAAAGAGAGATAGAGAGGCAGAGAGAGAGAAAAGGGGCCACACTCCCCGTTTTATAATTAACCCACCCTTGCCATATGACATTAATCCACCCACACGGCTGAATCACTTCTCATTAGGCCAACCTTCCAACACTGCCACAATAGGGATCAAGTGTCCTGTGTGTGAACTTTGGGTGACACATTCAACCCATAACACTAAGCA